GCGCACACATAATCTTCAGAATTAGCATTTTGTGCCTTCCAGTACCTTTGGGAGAAGAGCTTTTATTTGTGGAGTGATCATTATTATAACAAAGAAGAGCTACCTAATAATTTCCACTTTAACTCTGCAATATGCCATGAGCATTTCTGAACCATTATGCTAAACTGTGGCGGGGTAATCATTTTATTGTCACAGTTTGAAGGAAGAAAAATCCCCTGTATATGAGTAGCTAGGGGAGTACGGGAACCCAGGAACACGCTGACACACACAGCACACAACAAAAAACTTTGCCTTTTTGCTACCCGTGTGCTGAAGCTGGTACCTACCATCCTTTGTATGGATGATGGTAAGATTTTAACAATGTATATTCTGAGAAAAGGTGAAGATTTCAAAAGAACATTGTTTCCTTTGAAAGTCATTAGGGTTTTTGCTCATGAATCCTTAAAATTTATCGATAGAGACCTTCGCTTGAAGTCAGTGGCAAAATTCCCATTGGCTTCAAAAAGTTTGGGATTGCAGTGCTTCTCTCTAACATCTATATCTGTTAAGTCAAACTGCAGGAGCAGCGCAATGAAACACGTCAGATGTTAACACTGATTTGCCTTGATATTATGCAAAGAAGGAGAGCAGCTCATTAAGACTCATAACCGTTAGGCCATTTCAGCAGGTGGAGGATGTGGCCACATCACCTTCAGCAAGGAGCTGCAAGGTCCGTGCCTGCGGTTGGAAGGGTAGTATTTAGTTTTTCCTCAGTCCAATGACTGTTCTGAAAACATGCAGCGAATGTAATACACTCACACCAAAGAGTCTTAAAATCTTATCTGATAGTTAGGCTACCAAACTCTTTTTGGTTCTGGTTGCAGTTGGCTGCCAGCTGTTCATTTAAAAAAAAAAAAAAAAAAAGAAAAAGTTTATATGTGTAAGAATGTATAATTATTCTTTTTTATTATAATTCTTCTCTGGACTTAAAGTCTGTTCATGTTAGCAATCATGTGCACTTTATTGCCTTTATTAGAACTGGTCTGAAGTCCTTCACTGCATTTTTTTATCAGTGAAGTTTCAGACTTCGACTAAAATGTCTTTTTCTACAGAAAAAACTAAATTTTATGTAATTTTTTTCTATTTGTTTTAAAAACACCATTTTAGAAATGATGCTTTGGTGTTACAGAAGGGCATGTGAAGTGATAATATTTTGAAACAAAATATTTTGGAAATATGAAAAAATGTTATAGTTAATTCCAGATAGAGATTCTGGAACTTTACATGCTGAAAAAAAATGTTCTGTATTTTTGTTTCTCTTGTGCCCAAAACAAAATGTAGAAAAATCAAGGTCTCCAATGAAAAGATTTTTCTGCCTAGCTCTGTTTTTCTAGGGTTGCACAGAAGTAAACACCTTCCAGACAGCACTTTGAAAGTTGCCAAATGATTAACAGAAGAAGTATGAAGAGCTGAGGGCCTAAGCTGGCCAGACATTTGTACCAGGGGAATAAATAGAGCTGAGGTCATTCCCTTACCCAGCTCCCAACGTTACCTGTGGTAATGGTGGCAGATGAGACCCAATTCTTCCATCCTCCTTCCTGGTGCTCCAAAGAAAGGGCCTGGGAAGGACAAAGTTTTAGTAAGACCAATGACTTTAGTAATGACGCTGGCTGTTGCAAGTATGTCATTGTATAAACATGTTTTGTGCCTCCAAAACCAGGTAGCAGTCTGGATGCCTCTCTCAGCACGTCTCCTTGGGCTTCCTCGGGATGCAGCCCTTCCGCGCAGCTTCCCTTGCAGGGCAACACCTTCATGCAGCCCTTTCAGTCTTTACAGACACTTGCATTTTAAGATAAGAGAAGCTGTGTGGGGAAAATTGGGAAGTCCTGCTAGTTTTTGTGACTGTTCCTAAGGGAAAATAACGGCCTGAAATCTTTCAGGAATGCATAGCGCTCTTGCTGCTTCTCAGGTAGTGCCTGCAAAGGGTACCGACCTGCCCTGGTTATTAAACCACCAAGTCCTGACTTTTCATCCCCAGAGGAGATGTCCTGGGCTATTGCCAGTGGTTTCAGTGAGGCACTGATTCAGCACAATTGCTACATATTTAAATATAATTACACGTGCGAGTGGTCACATTGACTTTGCGGGCCAGAGCATCCCAGTGAACAGCCCGCAGCCCCAGTTCAGCACAAAGACCTGAGTGCTCAAAGTCCCCCTGGCTGCCATGGGACTTGGCATGTGTTTGATATTAAGCACATACATGTATAAAGTATCAGAATCAAATACATGAGGCAGCACAGAGAGTGCAGCACCTTGCACCTCTGAGTGCAATGTAGGTACCACAAAGAACATCACAAGATAAATAGCAAGACCTTTAGTGGGGACCTGTGACTGTAGAACAGTATCTTGCATTCATTTTGAAGATGAATTGAATCTATAATTTTGAAGCCTGCATGTGTTTTCTGTTAATGGCTTATGGTCTCAAACAGTTTTTATTCACTGGTATTTAGGAAAAAAATGTTGCTTGTAGTCTTTAAGAAAAGTAGCTCATTCTCTGACGCATGGGAAACTGATTATCTTCGGGTTTTATTGTGGGGTGTGTGTGTCCACAATCAACTGGAAATACTGGAAAGGGTAATTTGGAAGTGATTTTAATTTTTATTTATGAAAAAGTTTGGTTCTGTGAAAGGGCTAGATGGTGTTTTGAAAAGCTGCTTTCACTGTAAATCCATTGCTGTGAGCTCGGCTGAAAGGAAAGCATTTGGGTTTGGAGTTTGCAGTGTTTTTTTATGCACAGTTTTATGCAAGTAACTTGAATCCAAATTAAACATATTGAAGTTACTTCTGTTTGTGCGCTACATTTTCATGACGGTAATGTTAGGATGTTTCTTTTGTTAGCTCATGTAAAAGTTAATGGCTGTGCTCTGCCAAGTTTGGAGTAGAGTAATGATTTTTTTCTGCCTCTGTGTGTTTGTGTTTTTCACTGGAGCTGGCATCCCCATCAGGTTACATAGTGGAAAAGTTTGTGCCTGACACTTAACAACCTTTTGTAGGTAGGGATGGGGTCTGTTTGCTCCCCATGCATGCATTCCATCACCGGTGGTGCAAGTCTGTAGCAGTGCCCGCAGAAAAACTCACTGCTAAGGGTGACTCAACAGCTCCCTTTCCAGCTCCCTCCTGCCTCTCAACTCCACACCCGCCCACCCTGCCCAGGGACTGAGAGGAAGGAGCTTCTTACCAGCCTCACTGACTCTTGCAATTAGCTCCAACCAATGGCCAGAACTTCACTAAATAGTCATAAAGATGCACAGGGCCTCTTTAGTGCTTTATGTCTGGAGTATTTTAAAGTAGGCTTCTGTGAATGAATTAATTTACTGTCTTTGCAATTAGAAGAATGTAGGTCAGGGACTGTGCCACTACACAGCCACATTAAGTAATTCATGGGTGCAAGGGTGTTGTCTTGGATGGTGCTAACCATCCATGGGTAGCTTTCACACTCCTAGTAAATCCTTACCTGATGAAGTGCCTGGGTGCTCTCCCTTGAATGTCATCAAATACTCAAAGTTACAAATCAAACGAACTGCTCATCCAGCCTTTCAACCAAGTAGCAATTGACAGGCAAATGGCAGCAACCCTGAAAGAAGAGGTATACATGCAGATAAATATATGCAGCTAATGAAGTCCTGCTGACTGACACCTGATTGACATTGCAGAATCAGTGTGGGCAATGGCAGCCCTTCATGTGTTTTCAGTGGAGCCAACCTCTTCTTTCTGCTGAGGACTGGGTTCATATCTAAAGGAAAGAATCTTTCTTTCCAACATTGAGTTTGACTGGTGGAGTTTTGCTGCTCCTTAAGGAATCTATCTTTCACGGCTAATGAAATTGTTGAGGTACTCACTTTACTTAAAATGTTGTCTAATGGTATGGTGTCATGTTTTCACCTCATGCTGTAGTAGCAAGGAGAAGTTGGTGGCGTTTAGGATGGAGTTGCTTCTTTTCAACAACCTATATGACCACCCTGAGACTCTGCAGCTGAGAGTTACCCGGGGCTTTTTGTCTTATTCAGGTTATTTTTACAGTAGTTTATTTCTGTTGCTTCAGCACAGTTAAATTCTGATGTACTCTGGTACTGCAGAGGAACAGAATCAGTATGTAGATGTTTATGTTGCCCTATCCCACCAATGTATAAAGTTGAGCATGCTTCTGCTTAGATAGTCTTAAACCAGAAGACCTTACACCAGGATTTGATCTTACTACTTTGAGCAGCGCTTGAGTTTTCAACATCCTCTCAGGAGGTACTTAATACATATGATGCCAAGAAAGTGGCTAGTAAAGTGGGAGCAGACTCTATGAAGATGGCAGAATGCATTGCACATGCTGCTTAGTTATCCAGTAGATGCAGTGTAACTGGGATGACTAGATGGCAGGGTTGTGGGTTTTGGTTTTGGTTTGGTTTGGTTCGGGTTTTTTTGTGGTAGCTAAAGCATTAAGCAGGGCAGGGTGGTTTAATACTAGAACAACCTGGATCTGATTGCAGAATAGTTAAAGAAATGCTGAGGGTTACACCCTTTTTTATTTCACCAATATTTTCCATAATATTTATGGGGGTTTCCTTGATGAATTTACATTATGATGGATAATAAAGAAAGCTCACTGGAGATTATTTTATTAACTCAGGTATTGTGCATTTCATATAGAATAAAGATAGGGATTTGTCCTGGTTTCCAATTGGTCTCTGCCCATCATGCTGTGATTTTTTTGTTAATACAGGGTTAAAAAAAAGTTAATTTTTTCAATGCAGATGACAAAACCAAACAGAAATTAATTGAGAAAAGTGCTTCCAAGGATGTAGTTTGAGGTCATGCACATGTACTAGAAAGAACGTGGTTGCTGAAATCTTTGTGTTAGTAAGGGGGGAAAATGAAAGCTCCTTTTATTTTATTTTTTCTCAAGTCTTCTATCATTAAAATCTGGTTCTAACAGCAGAATACTTCTCTTTTTCATGTGTGTTGAAAAGCAGCTACACCATGTATCAAAGCCATCAGTCCAAGTGAAGGATGGACTACAGGAGGTGCCACTGTCATCATCATAGGAGACAATTTCTTTGATGGGTTACAGGTCATATTCGGCACCATGCTGGTTTGGAGTGAGGTAGGTGTTGTCTGAACGGTAATGTCTAATAGCTTTGTCTAGCTTATAGCTAGCCTGTCCTTTTTCTATGCCACATGCTAAATCAGCAACAAATGTTGAAATGTGAATCCTTTCCTCATTCAGCTTTATGAAAATAATTAGTCAAATTTACCTGTGGCAGAAATCCATTATAGCCAGGGGATTTGCATCTCCTCTCTCTGGCCCAGAATTTAGCTCAGTGTCTTTTATTCCAGGAAAAGGGAAGGATAAATGCCTGTGTGAATAATTCTGCATTTAACACTGCAATAGCTAAGGGCCCACAGGAAACAAACGTTTAGGTGATCCTGCTTTCCAGGGAAACTGGCTGCTTGTAGCTGCAGCTCAATGAGGTGGAGATTGTAAAAATTCAGCACATCTAAAGAGCATATCCTTAAAGTGTAGGCTCTTGGTGTAAGTATAATTTTAATAATAGCAACTGAATACACAGTATTGTATCCGTAGTGGAAAGTACAGACTCATCATACCTAACAGGGGCCTCTGTAGTTTCGCAGTAACCCTTTTTTTGTTTCTTATCCATTTTTTGCTGTTGAGGTTCCTCCCAGTTTCTTGAAGCCTCTCTTCCCCTGGCACATAATTAAACATGAAGTCTGATATTCCCCAAAAGCCCATGGAAAGTTTAAACCCAGGCAGCATCACCCGAACAGCCACTTCCAGTGCACAGGGCCATAGAAGTCAGGGCAGAGTTCCCACTGGCTTCAATGGCATGGGAAGGCAGCTCCAAGGAAAGGTTTACATTTTGCATTGTGGCTTTCCAAAAGCATTTTGGAGGTTTTATAAGAAATTGTGATTTTCATTATTTTAATACTGAAATAAACATGCTAACAGACAAACCAGCATCTCTAAAATAGCTATACAATGCTTACCTAGTGACATAAGGATCTTCTGATGCTTTACCTTATATCCTATAAATATTAAATCAACATTATAGCTTAATTCATATCCAGCACATTCTCCCTACTGATTCCATTGCACATATGGCAGCATTTTTTCCATATGAAGAGTATTCTCTAATGTCCTTCATGGGCTTCACTGTTCTCTCTCTCTCTCTCATCATTCTGCTTGAGGACAAGTGTGGATGAAAGGGCATTCCAGAAAAGGAGATATATTAAATGAGCCCTATTCTGAAGCCCTTATGTGATCATGAAAGTGCCCCCTGGGTCCAGTGTAAGCATTTTGTGTGTTAGAATTGAAGCCATTATGGCTACAGACATTTAACAGGGAAAGGTGAAGAGGCTGGGAGGAAAGTGCTCTGATTTTGGTACTGCAGAATTGGATCTTTCATTGTAAATCTTGATTCTATTTATTAGTGCAAGTCATTAATTGGCAATTTCGAATCTCATGAGAGTGTGTTCTGGTCAAAACATTGTTGCTGATGGTTACAAGGCCTTGTCATAAAATTAATAATGTTAGAGGGGATCTAGACCAAAGTCGGTCTGTTTGTCATGAATGCTATAAGGGGCTGCAAGTTGGCTTTGAGTGAAAACTGTTTCAACTGTCTCTCCCTTACAGAATTGCTTCTCAGTTTCATAACCTATGAGAGCAGTAGAAAATCCTATAGAGGGAAAGAAAATATTTCTGAAAGAAGGAGACAAACATGATAAACAAGTGCAGAAATGCATGAGCAGAGTGATCTCTAAATAATAGTGATCTATAAATAATTCAAATTATACATACTAGCCACCTATGAAGTACAAAATAAATTCTTTCATTTGCCTTCCCATTTCTAAAAATGTCTAGTACACTTTCAGTACCCAGGAAGAATATTTTTGTTTTACTGTAATAGAGTGTAGCATTGTACTGTCAATCTTCTGAATTTCAGTACCATTTCAAACTTGGAGCAGGTTTGTCCTGAGTTGCCAGTCAGGCCCAGTTTTGAACAAATCTGGCCAGGTTATTTTATCATTGAATTCAAGAAGGATTTTCAAGTTCATCCTATTGTTTCATGGATCTAAAGAAAACATGATTTAACTGAACTGCAGAAGATCCAAAACAAAACTAGATAGGCAGAAACTAAAGAAAAAGAGTGAGTCTTGCAGAGCATTTTCACATGATTTTTTCTAGCTTCACTTTCAGTTATAATTGCAGGTGGTTTGGGGGATGAAGTCTAATATTTAAATTAAGCATCATTTTGCCACAGACTTTGCATGGGACCTTGGGCAAATCACATAATCTGCTTAAAGTTCAATTCCCTTTCTCTAACATAGTAATAAGATTAGTCACCTTCTTTGGAGAGGTGCTGTGAAGATAATTATCGTAAAGGTCCTTATATTACTCAGATTTTATTATAGCAAAATCTATGTAAGTACCTGAGATGCATGGATATTTAAAATATAAATCCTACCACAGTACAGAAGCAATGTTAAAAGCCAAAAAAAAAAAAAAAATGTTCATTTTAAGGGCGAATTTGTTGCTGTCAAGCAGCATGTGTTATAAATAATTTGAAATGTAAATAATATATTTTTAATTTATTTTACATGTATTCAAGTTTCGTAATTGAAATATTTATATTCTTGAAATAGAGTTGACTGTGTTAAAAAAGGAGGTTTAAAATGGTTTCTGAAACACATATTTATTATTTAAACATATATTTTAGCTGTAAACACTCTAACATAATTACAACCTTTCTCAGCCAGGAAGAACTAAATAAAAACTTAATTTGCCACATTAATTTTGTGCAGAAATGCAGATACCCTAATCCAGTAAGTTCAATTAATCCTTAACTCCAGTATTACTTTATGAAAATGACGTTAAAAGTCCTTGATATTTTTAGAATACAGCAAAATGGACCATCTAATGTCTTTTTTTTAAGGGACTTTTGTAACCAACAAACAACCAACATTGGTATATCGGGTGCACATGCTGAATCTGGACAGACAACTCCCAGCAAATAGTCTGTTTGCCAGATAGACTCTGCCGGTCTGTTTGTCCAGTCCACAAACAGAGAGAGCTGCTATTTGCAGATTTTTACCCAGTGTTCTGGGTCTGTGCATTGTTGCAAATATTCCAAATTTGAGCTGCTGATAAAAATCCCTTGTTGTTTCTCTCTCTTATTGGGGGTCTGAAACTCCGAGAGTCGAGTTTCAGGGCAAATAACATGATTGTGGAAACAAAATTAATTTCTTATAAATATTCCACAATATTTGCTTAAAATGAACTATTTCTTCAAACATTTTCCTGCCAAGAACATTCCTCCAGCTGTACGGAGTCAGCTGGAAACAACTTCTTTTCTTTTATATTGAGAAAAGATGAAGCACTGAAACATCAAGTTTTTTACCTTTGTACAGCACAAAACCAGAGGATGATTTTTTGATTTGGTGTTTGTTGGGTTTTGTTGGTTTTGGTTTTTTTTTTTTTAATGCTGCTGAATCAAATTCTGTGACACAGTTTTTTATTTTTCTTTTTATGTTTATTATTGATTTTGGAAGTCTCTGTTTTTGAGTGCTTATTTTGGAGGTCTGACTCATTTTTAAAAAATGAGTAGGCACCCTCTTTTTGAAAACCAAGGCTTATTAAGCAGCATCTGGATGCCCAGAATTGAGGCATGCAAAGTCATCAGTCATTTCAAAAAATATTTCATACAGGTACCTGAAGGGTCCTGTTCTCACTGAAAGCTGTCATTACCTTCAGTTGGTGGGATTTTTCTTCATTCCTGTCCTAATAGTCCTCTTCACACAGAGTCCAAGTTGAATTTATGACTGATTGTCACCATTTCCCTAACCACAAACCAGAGCTCAAGCATGCAAAAATAAACTAGTGACTCAGATTAATGACATCTCCTTATAAAATGTCACTTTTAAAAAAAGAAAGTAACCTGGCACTCTGAAGAGTGTGAAATGATGCTGTATTGCACAAGAATGTCTAGAATATATTAGCAAACCACAGAAAGAGGCTTGTTGTACACACTCAAACCAAATGTGTTTTGGATGTTGAAGGACATGCACCTCCCTCCATTCTGAAGATCTCTAACTCAGGTCTTAATACAATCCACAGCGTGTCCCAACTGCCATGTAAGGATTTATGTCAAACAGCTAATGCAGTTGCCAAGTATCAAACCAATTCACTTGAAAATCCCTTGGGAGAATGTCCGGGTCCAGTTACTAGTTTTATGTCCAGCTCCAGATCTCAATTTGTCAAATGGTGAAATAGAAGAGGAAGCTGGATCTGGGATTTTGGCTGGTGGGTTCATGTCCAAATCACAGATTAATGCCTTGCTCAAGATTTACATTTAAAAAATGTGTTCAGAAATGTACATAATTCGTATTTACAAATTCTTAGTTCTTGGCATTTCATTGCTGTGGCTCTTTTGATGTCTGTTAATGCACCAAGAGTTCCCACCTGAGCTTAGAACATACAAATGACCATACTGGGTCAGACATGGAGGTTCATCTAGCTCAGTATCTTGTGTTTGGTGGTGCGCAATGACAGATGTCTATAACAACAACAGGGTCAGCATGTCGTGATGCTTCCCCAGAACACTCCACCTGTCTCCAGCTGTTTGGGGCTGAGAGGCTTCCAGAAGCGGTGTCTTTACTTCTAATGTCCCTTGATGCTAATAGCTCACCTCTTCCAGATGATTTATGTGCAAATATGCGACAGACTATGCCTTGAAGAAGGTACAGACTATGGCAGTGTGAGAGGAGAAAACATGCTAGGAAAAGGTGGAGTGGGTTCCCAAGGTCAGGCCTCAGGTTGACAGTGTAGACAGGAAAATATCCCATAATCCTGGACTTATTGAAGTCAAGGGCAGATTTGCTCTTGCCGTGGGTGGGCCTGGAGTACCCAGACCTGTGCAGTACCCATTGGGTCACTCAGATTGCAAAATGGAGTCAGGGAAATTCGGAGAGCTGGTCCCGGTCCATAGCGCAGATCCTGGCAGCACTGGGGAATCAGAGTTCAAGACCAAAGGTGGGTTTCAGAGGGCAGGTTTTGATGTGCAAGGGGGCATTGTTTGTCCCTTAAAGACATTTTCTTGATATGACAGTAATATAGGGGACTACTGGTATGTACCCAAGCTAGCCAGTTCCTTTCTGTGTGCATGAGAACTGAAGGCTGACCCAGAACAAAGGTCTGTCTAGCTCAGCACTGTATCACTGACAGTGGTCATTGACAGATGCTAAGGAGGAAAAGCAAAAGGAAAAGGCATGTGTATTCTCCTGTTATACCTCCCAAGGTTTAGTTCTAGAGAAGAGACGAGTAAAATACATCCTGAGCATCCTAAACCATAGGACTTCAGACATAATGTTCACCCTTTGGGAATGTGTGGGCGACATTATTGTATATTTGTGGTTTTAAACATAGTTAAACTTACTTACTTCAGAGCACAAAGGAAAACCAAACTGTTTGTGGAGAACAAACCAGGAAACTTGCTTAACTCTCCCCAGCTCTGTGTAACAATGGACCATAAATAGGTCAGACATTTCTTGGGAACCAGGGAAGATGAGTATTGGAAAATGCCACAAATTATGTTTAAAGAACATTAAAGTGGTGACAGACCAGTAAATGCTGGGAAATTCAAAGATGCAACCAGAAGCTGTCTGTATAGCTCATGCCAGAATGGGGGGGAGGGGTGCAAGGCACATGCTGATGTAGTAAGACTAGCATGTTAACCTTTACCATTAAAATCCTTGGCTGTTTTTACAAATATTTTCCCAAAAAAATGTCATGAAACTTTTCTCATCTTGCCAATTCACCCAGTTAACTAGAACCACTTGAGCATGGGATTTATCTCAGCTATATTCGGCTGCCTACAGTTAAGCATCTAGTCTAAACTTGTCATCTCAGTTCTTCGGAGAAAGGTAGATACTTCCAGAGAGCAACTCATCCTGATGTGAGAGGTGTCTAAAGCACTGGAAATAAGTTGCTATTTGGCAGTGCTTTCTGCCTCCGCTGACTATTGAGGGCATGTAGGGAACTGGCCTAGACTTTTAGGCTTTGGTCAGCCCAACTGTAAGAAAACTCAATTTAAGTAAAAGCAATCCTTGGAAGTTTGGGGTTTGTGTTTTGGTGGTTTTTTGGGGTTTTTTTGTTTGTTTGTTTATTTGGGTTTTTTTACCCAGTTGACAGAGCGAGTAATTTAGAAAAAAGGCAGGTTTCTTTTAAAAATAAATAAGTTTCTAAATTACATGATTTCAAAGAAAAGCCTGAAAACATGTTCTTTGGAGCTCACAAACAAGAAGGCATCAATTCCTACATGATCATTTCTAAAATGACATATGGCTTATGGCTTTGGTGGATCTGAATAACTTTTGGACCCTTTGGTGCTGGTGGTGTTGGTTTTAATTTTCAACTTGATTTAATATTAGTTTTCTGATTTTAAATATGGAGAACTTTCTACTATGTATGCCATTTCCCTCAGTAACACAGATGGCTCTCAGACAGACGTTACTCTCCTCCTATGTTTTTTAGTCCTGTGCTCTAAACAAAGAACTAGTTAAAAGTCTGTTTTTTTCATAGGACCTTACTACAATTTTGAAATATTTGGTTCCTAGTAAAAATAAGAATAAAATTAGCTTTTTATTACAAAAAAAAAAATTCTATTGGAATGTATTCCTTAAACCAGGACACAATTCAACCAACAGCACAGAGTAGCTGACTGCATAGGGTGCCCATGGCTTTGCTCACTGTCAAGGCTGGTTATGGTCTTGGTCTTGTCTGCTTCTCTAGAAGTGTGTTCACGTGCCACAGTCAGTTAGACAAGGATTATCCACATGCCACAGCTGTATCTTGATTGCTGGACACAATCATGTCACCTTTTCTATGTACCTCTTTTTACTATTTTTGTCTGAGGGAGTATAATGAGTGAGAAGAGGACATTTCAGTGATGGGGAGGACAATGCTGTAATTTCTGAGTGCTGCAGAGATTCGAGTTAATCTGCCATGAATTAGTGAACTCCTGGATGGCTCTAATACTAATTTTAGCAACTATGTTTTAAATCCAGTCCAGAATCCTGAAAGAGCAAAAATGGTCTAGAGCCTGGGAAGTGCAACACTGACCAACCCAAACCTTTTGTGTTAAGAGGATCAGGACCCCCAGCCCCAATAGCAAGAAAGTTAAGTTTGTCTACTTATTACTGTGTAAATCCATATCTGCAGGAGCCCTTTCAGATGTGTATCAGTCATTGCAGTGAAGGCAGACTGGAAGTGATGGTTAGATGGTTGTATTTGGTATATCTCTTCTGAGTGCTCTGATGATTTGCAATGAAAGATCCAGCATCCTTCAGAAGCCAAACTTTGCATTTCTGTAGTAATCAGTTATACCTCCACAGAATTAATAGGAAATTAAGATAGCAGCACATGGTGCTTTTGCAGTGTACAGATGTCAGCTGGGGACCAGTGCATTTAAAAACCTGCCTGGGCTTGGGCTCTGCAGTGAATCTCAGCCTGGGCTTGTGCTGTGCTGTGTTCACACATGTAACTGCGTATCATTTATCAATCAGATTTGTTGGACACTGTCATGACCCCAGTGTTCACCTGAGCAAACACAGGCATCCTGCTCCTGTAAGCTAAAGTTATTGCATGAAACCAGGGCTAATGCTTGTACTAGGAAGCAAATGCCTGCCATGTATGAAAACAGAAATAATGTTGTTATGGCTGGGGAGGAGAACGCTTGTAAATATTGTAGTCACTGGCTTTTGTGTGGGTTACATCAAGATTGTATTCAAACATTGACAGGTTAATTATGTGTTTCAAAGCTTGTTTACTGTGATCTGAGAGGAAAGTGTTATTAAAGGAAGTGTTCAGCATCTAACAATGCTTTTTTCCCTTTCTTCTCCCTTCTCAATGTTTTCCTTTAGCTGATTACTCCTCATGCCATCCGCGTACAGACACCTCCCCGACATATCCCAGGGGTTGTAGAAGTCACATTGTCCTACAAGTCTAAGCAGTTTTGCAAGGGAACGCCTGGCAGATTCATTTACACAGGTAAGGATGCTTTAGTACTAGATATAATGTGGAGAAATAGGGCAGGCAATATATCACACTTGCTAGGGTTTCTACTTTTGTCATTGAAAGCTTTACTGTATTTTATTATTTTGGCTGAGCACGTCATTGAAGGTACCAATTTAAGGCTGGATTTTAGAAATGGATGATCGTAGAGATGAATCTGAAAACATACCAGTGTGGGATTTTTGTTTGCTTGCTTGTCCTCACAATGGGACATCTCTTTACCCAGGAGTGGGGAGGAAAAAGAGAAACGGATATTCCAGTACTTAAACAAACAGAGGAAGAGTGCAAACATAAAGAGCCAGACATACTAGTGCAATCACGAACCTGCCTTCCAAGAAGCACTTTGCTAAATATCTCCATCTCATGTTGTCCACCAAGTGTTGCAAGTGTTCAAAGCAGCAGCCTGTTTACCTGCCCATGTCACCATAAGATACTTGTCTCTGACTTCCAGGGAGGCTAAGTAGCTTTCACCCCAGCCGATGTTGCAGACATAGTGACTTGCCATGTGTTTTGGGGTGGCATCCCACACTGAGACCACTAAGTCAAATGGTTTGGCCTGAAGAATTACTATCAAAAAACCATGCTGGGACATTGCAGATGCTGTTAATGTTAAACCACTCTCAGTAGTGATAAGAATGGCCTGGGAAATAAATCAAGTAGCAGCCTAACTTTTTAAAAAGAATGTGTGTCATTGATTCCTTGGAAGGTATGCATGCTACAAGAATTAATCGCTTGGTCCAGGTTTTGGTGTGCTTGTCCTTTTATGTGCTTGTTGTTTGGCATATGCAGACAGGACTACTTCTGTAAATGTTTGCCTGAACTGCTGTTCATCCCAGTCCAATGCAATTCCTTTCCCCATTCTTCATTGCCACCAAAACTATGAGGCATTCTGAGTTACACTGGGCACATATATTGCTCCGACTGTGAATGTACACACAGGGACTTGAGGCAGGGGAGAGACTTCCGTGCTCCAGCTGGGTAGCAAGGCTCTCATTTGATTTCTCTTAACTCTAAGCAAGTTGAACAAAGGTGCCTTATAAAGCTTTGTTGTCTTTTTCAAATACCCTCTTCCCCAGTTGGGATTATGCACTGGATTTCTTTAAACTGGATCTTAAAGTGTTCATGTATGGCCTTGCTGGCTGAGCGGCAGGCGCTTGTGGAGGCTGTGTGTATTTATTGTGAGTATTATGATTTCAACAATGTGTGGGAAATTCATGTATTGGACAATAATGCACCATATAAAAAAATTATTTAGGGTTTGAATGTGTTGGAACAAAAGAAAAAACGAAGGGTCAAATTGCCAGCTGGTGCAAATTGCCAGTGTATTCCACATGAAAGTGTCAGCCAGAGCTCTGGACAGTTTGACCATGAATCTTTTCCCTTCTCACTTTCTTACTCGCCATAAGTTGTGCTGTCCTGCTTGTTGTCAAACCACCAGGGTGGCTGCGTCTTGGGCTGGTGAAACGGCAAGTGTGCATGCCGAAAGGAGGGAAGCCTGCGCCTCTCAACTTTGTGAAGAAATTTTTGGGGACTTCATTTTGCAATTTAAATGTAAAAATGGCTTGGACCTGCTTTGGTTTTGCTTTTCAGATTGTCATTAATTAGCTTTTCCAGCAAAAAAGGAGGGAGGCAGTTTAGCCTGTCTGCCCAGAGGCAGATGGCTGAATGTGGAAATAAGGTGTCCCAGTAGGGAGAGTGTTTCCATATATGCATTTTCAGGTTAGTGTTTAAAACACATTATTTTTTGTTCAATAAATGAAAGTTATGAAATACTAAACAACAATGATAAAATCAAAGGTGATCCAATCCATGGACAATTCTTTTACTTATACAGCTTTCGTGGAGTTACAGTAGATACGGAAAAGCTATTGTGACTGAAATCATACCTCATACAATTTGCATTTTCCTTTTAGAGGCAGCTTGATCTTAAATGTGGCTTTTAAAAAAGGACTAAATGAAACTAAAATAAAAACAATTATTGCATCCTGACCTTCAGAAGTGCCTTCCAGCCCTTTAAACAGAATGCAGGTTCAGTACACGCCTGCCGATTAGTTTTAGTTAATTGAAAATTATAGGATTGACCCAAGAGGAAAATTTTGTTTGCACTCCAATCACTTTTACAAATTAAGGAAAATTACCACAATTTTGTTTAGCTAAGGTTTCACACTGAGTTCACGAAATTAGCTCAGCCATCCCAACAAAGTCAGCACTTTGTTAGTGAGCACTAGAAAAAAACTAATAGTCTATGGTGTGTACAAACGAAGCATAGAAAAAGCTATGATGCTTTGGAGAACTAGGCCAAGTGTTTTTAATTAGGATTATTGGTTCATTGTAAGTTTTGAAGAACAATCAAACTAGCAGATTAGCTGTTTCTTTTAAAGCTAGAATTTCTTGCCATTCATTTTTCCCATGAGAACTTGTTTTAACTCCCACATAGCACTATTTTTTTCTTTTTTTTTTCCTAACAAGGCCTGCAGGAAATGGACCAATTGGAAGTTGGGATACAGTAACATTCCCCAGCATCACTCCAGCCGATGGGATTTTTTCACAATGTTTTTCAGTGAACTCAGTGTTCTGGAACATATTACAAAACCACAGAGGCCAAATGTTTTCTCAGAGGAGTTTGGCCTCTGTTTTTGGCCGAAAATATTTCAGCATCACTTGCTGCTTATTTACCCTGCTATTAAGAAAAAGAGAAGGGGAGAGGAGAAAAAAGGAAGGAAAAAAAAAAAGAGAGAGAGTGTGTGAGAGAGAGAGAAAAAGACCTGGGGTTTGTGGGCGGTGCAGGAGTTGATCAAGCGTAGTTTCCTTTCTGGTGAGAATGTCCCTGCTCGTTAATGGTCCCATTTTGTGGTCAGGTCTCATTTAGAAGAAATTATTTTTAATCAGTGTTCAACAAAATATCCCCTCGAGCCACCTGGCTGTAAACTGTTTTTTTCTTACTGTTAAGTACTTCAGTTCTCAGAAGAAAATACCCAGTGACCCATTAATTTTAGCCTTTTTTTCCCCTTTAACTGCAAATAACTTAGTAACATGATCTCCAAGTAGTCCAAGTGCCATCTAGGAATCAAGGTCACATATATACAGAGAAATCCTGGCTTTTGTAAGTACATTTGAAAGAAATAAACCAGTGTCAACCCTGTACTTGCAAGAAAACATAAGTTTTTTATTTTCCGTCTGCAAAGCAAGCCATTAGCATGCACTTATAGAGCAATTATTTCTTAGATTTTAAGCTTTGACATTCCTGAGAGAATGTGATTAGAAATACAGCAGTCTAAACACATCTTGCATGTGTGTTCATTTTTAAATAATATTAAAAGTCCATATCGCACACAGAACCATCCAAACATGCTGGTCAGTGTTTCCCTGTGGCATCCTTCGTCTGTAACTAAGTCTCTTCTGGTACTGAGGAGCACTGAATGAATTAAGCTTCATGTCACAACTTAGGAGTCAGGTATGTATCACTACCATTGTTTAAGGACAGGAGGAACTGAGATAAAGGAAGAAACCACTAAGGCTACAAATCCATAGGTAATTTGCCAAGGTGACTCAGGGCATATATGGTTGAGTTAAATAAGGAAAGAGAATTGGCACAAATTTGTGATACCTGGACAGGGCTTTGAGATTTTTGTTTTAATTTAAAAAAATGGATGCATCATGGACAGCATGATTTTCACAGGTGAATTTTGCTATGGTACTAAACTGTGAGATTTGAGTGGGACTGCATGAACGTAAGTGAAGGGAGAATTATTCTCACTGCATATTGGAAAGGACATATGGAAGGTCCATAAAAATGCATTATGCTGTGTCTTCTACCACCTGCTCAGTTTTAAGGTTTTGTGCTTTTGTTCCCGAACTAGTACATAGGGGCCAGAAGTATATAGCTTTGTCACTAAGGTTACGTATACAACATGGGGTTAATTCAGATTCTTGGCTGAGCAGTACCCCAAATATGGTTCCTTTTTTTTTTGAAAATTGGTTACATGGTTGGATACAGGTTGGAATTTAGGGAATGTTTTTATTGGCATTAGTCTTGCAGGAAGGCTGCCTGCTAAACCGTTTGTGTGCTGACAGGGTACCTAAAGAGGCAAGACCCCCTCAGTTCATTGGGGGTTTGTTATAAGCTCTGGGATGTGTTATGTCTCTAGAAGTGATGCTAACAGGAATGGGTGGATGTAGGGACAGCACAGACACACAGGGCTTGCTGTGCGGTGTGAATAACCCCGATGCTGAGCGCTGATCCTCCAGGATAATTGTGATGGAGGCCAAGTAGGTCAGAGAGGAGCACTGCCGAAACTGACCAGTGTTCGCATTACGCTTTTGGGCCATTGTGTGTAGCGTGATGTAGAAATGCTAGCACTGTGAAGGTCAGGATATTCACAGAATTTCTGGGAAACTGCCTCTTTCTCTGAAATGTCATAGGACTTCTCAGAGAACTTTTCACTCCCCTAGTTGTTACAAAGAAGAAATAGCCTCATATGGAAAAATTCCTGCCCCATCCTCATTTCACCCTTTATTTACTTCTGAAAACATTTGAGTCCGTGTTCAAACAGGAACAGCTTTGCAGATCACAGATGATTTGGGTAATATTTTCAAAAGCCTCAGTTTTAGGTGGCTTCATTTTTTGCTTTTTATCTTTAAAATGTTTAATTTACAGAAGCACAGGGGTGTTGTCTGAGAATCATTCTCTTTTCATTTCTTAAGTCAAATACTTCCAAGAGTAAGATACCAAAAATTACCCATCGCCATTTAAAATTTCAGTCCATGGCCCTAGAAGCAGAGGTTTAAGTCATGTACACAGATCTGGTCAGAACTGGAACCACTTAAAAGGTGATCTCCAGTCCTTAAAGCTTCCAGCCTGGTAAACTTCATTGATTCCTTTGCTAGAAAAATTTTCTGCTTTCAAGAAAGCACCAATAACTATGCAAAGTTCAAAATACACATAATCAACAAAGCAATCAGTTTTCAGAATGGAG